CACTAAAAAACTACTGGAACTAATAAATAATTTCAGCGAATTTGTAAGATACATCAATACAGAAAAAAGTCAATTGTATTTCTATTTGTATTTTCTGTTGAAAATACATTTTCATTTGAAAATGAAATTTTAAAGAATTCCACTTACAATAGTATCTAAAAGAATAAAACACTTTGAAATAGATTCAATAAAAATAAATGCAAAACTTACGTGCTGAAAACAAACACTGCTGAAAGAAAACAAAGTCCAGTCTAAGTCAAAAGACACCAGGAGGAGCAAGATGGCTGCCGAGTAACACTAATCTGAACAGCTATTCTACGAAACCAGATTCAGAAGAGCTAGGGAGACCAGGTGAGAGATCACAGTACCTGGTTTTAGCATTTGGCACAGTGGTTAAGACCTTGCTTGGGATGCCCTATCCTGTACGGGAGTGGCTGGGTTCAAGTGCTGGCTCCTCTTCCAGGTCCAGCTTTCTGCTAGTACACACCCTGGGAGGCAGATGATGATTCAAGTACGTGGGTCCCTACCACCCACATGGATTCCTGGATTCAGCTCTGTCTTCCTGGCTTCAGTCTGGCCCTGGCCCCATCGTTGCAGGCATTTGGGGAGTAAACCAGCAGATGGAAGATCTCTCACTGCCTTTCAAATAAAATGAAACTAATAAAAACATCATACAATATATTTTAAAGAGAGAGAGAAAAGACTCATTGAAGAAGGCAAGAAGGAATGCACTGCCCACATTACTTTGCTCCCAATTCCAAGAATGTAAAGTGGAGAAAGATACCTCCTATTTCGCGAGAAGACCACCTTTTAGCCATCGTCCCAATCCATCTGGAACAAGACACTAGCTACAGATTTGGAATAAACTTGAGCCTGGGGCACCCTCATAGTGACAACATCCCAATCAAGGGCTTGGGGCACACTTGAACTTAGGATGCCATCTAGTGCTGAGACATCAACAGTGACCACAAAGAGAAAATAAGTAGGAATTTCTAGAAGAGCAGGCACAACCAAAGCCAAGACACCAAGATTAGAATGAATGCCTAAAGCATCAATGCACAGACATCGCCACAGGCCAAGAAGCATCTAAAACACTCAGGAAACAAAGAGCTCACCTCAATGGCACCAGAAGCCGACCACAGAGCAGCCAAGATGTATGAACCCTTGGACATTAAGGAAACACAATGAACTTCAAGAAAACAATTCAGCAAGCTATCACAGAAATTTAGCTGAGTGATTGAAATACCTTTCTATTTATTTTCTAAAGACATGTTTAGTTGTCTGTTTGAAAGGCAGAGTGACAGGTAAAGAGAAAGGGAAGGGAGAGAGAGAGACCTTCCATCCACTGACTCACTCCCCAAATGGCCACAACAACCATAACTAAAAGCCAGGAGGCTGGAACTCCATCCTGGTCTCCCATGTGGGTGCCAGCGGCCCAAGTACTTGGACCCTCTTCTGCCACTTTCCCAGGTGCATTATTAGGGAGCTGGATCGGAAGCAGAGCAGCCAGGACTCAAACTGGTGTTGACATGAGATGTCGGCGATGCGAGTGGTGGCATAACTCACTGTGCTTTACCTGATGTAATTTTTAAAAAATCAACAGAAACTTTTTAAGCTGAAAAATACCACAAAACAAAATGAAAACTCAAAAGCATCAAATGCAGAACAGCTCCAACAGAAGAAAGACCCCATAAGCTACAAGACAGGCTAGTTGAAAACACAAAGGAAAAGGAGAAAAAAAAGAATGAAAAACGATTACAGGAACTAGGCGACAGCATCAAAAGAGCAAACATTCAGGCTGTTGGGGTTCAAGGGGGACCTGTGAATGTCAATGGGGTAGGCAGCTTATTCAGAAAGATAATAATAGAAAACGTTTCAAATCTAGAGAAGAGGGGCCTGCGCTATCGTGTGGCAGGTAGGCGCTGGTATCCACTATGGGCGCCAGTTCAAGTCCTGGCTGCTCCACTTCAGATCCAGCTCTCTGCTATGGCCTGGGAAAGCAGCAGAAGATGGCCCAAGTCCTTGGGCCCCTGCATCTGCTTGGGGGACCCGGAAGAGGCTCTTGGCTCCTGACTTCAGATCGGCCCAGCTCTGGCTGTAGAGGTCATTTAGGGAATGAACCAGCAGACGGAAGACCTCTCTCTCTGTCTCTTCCTCTGTTACTCTACCTCTCAAATAAATAAATAAATCTTTTTTTTTTTTTAATCTAGAGAAGAACACAAATATCTAGTTGCAAGAAGGTTAGAGGCCACCATTATGATTCAACTCAACCAAGAAAATCCCAAAACATACTATAAAATTAAGGAAAGGAGATTCTAAAAGCAGTACAAGAAAAGAAAGAAATAACACATAAGGGTATTCTAATTCACCTGACAGCAGACTTCTTACCAAAAACCTTACAGGTCAAGAGAGAGTGGAATGAGATATTCACAGTGCTGAAGGGAAAAACCTGCCCAGGACAGGCATTGGGCACAGTGGTTAAGATGCCACTTGGGATGCCTGCATCCCATGTTAGATTTCCTGGATTCAAGTTCCAACTCCACTTCCAATTCCGACTTCCTGCTAATGTGTACCCTGGGAGGTAGCAGTACTTAGATCCCTCTAATGTAGCAGACTAAGCCTCTACCTGCAGCACCAGCATCCCATATGGGTGCCAGTTTAAGTACCGGCTGCTCCGGTTCCAATCTAGCTCCCTACTAAGGCACCTGGAAAGCAGTGGAAGATGGCCCAAGTGCTAGGTCCCTGTACCCACATGGGAGACCTGGAGAAAGCTCTAGGCTCCTGGTTTCAGCCTAGCCCAGTCCCTGCCATTGCAGCCATTTGAGGAGTGAACCAGCAGGTAGAAGATCTCTGTCTCTCCTTCTGTATAACTCCTTCAAATAAATAAATAAATATTGTAAAAAAAAAAATGATCTAAAAGCCTCAAATTCTAACTACTCCTTTGAGGCACATTTCGTTGTGAACTACTATACACTCATGATCATAAACTGTCATTTGTCAGTTTAATTCATAGGCTCGCAATCACTAAACCTAATAGGGTAGAGACAAAGTTTGTGTTTTCCCACACACAGACCCAGGATAGACAAAAACACACTCATAAACCCACATGAAAACTTGCATGGGACTGTTCACAGCAGCGAGTGGGAACATCTAAAAGTCCATCAGTTGATGAATGTATAAACACAACATGGGATACCCACACAATGGAATACTATTCAGCAAAAAAGGAATAAAGCACTGATTCACAGACAAATTTTGAAAACATTATGCTAAGTCAGACACAAAATCACCACAAATTGTGTGATTCCATTCAGTGCTAAGTTCAGAAGAGGCATATCTATAAAGGTGGAAAGTAGATCAATGCTGCATAGGGCTGCAGGGAGATGATGGGATTGGGGGTGGGTGTCATTGGGCCCAGGGCTTCTTTTTTGGGGTAATGAAAAAACATTGTAAATTTAATTGCAGGGATGGTTAGACAACCTTGTGAGAACGTTAAAAACCCTGAATGGTGCATTTTGAAGGGTCATTGTATGGTATACGAAGTGTATCTCTGTTGAGTTGTAAAAAGAAAGCCAGCCTTGCGGGTTTTGCTGTGTTCACTGCTGACACTCGCTCTGAGAGCCTTGAGCCCACTTTTAATAAGTCTGACTTCCATTGAGCAAAGCACAAGACGCACGAAGAGGCCACCTGCACTAGCTTGGTCCAGCTTCTGAGTCATCATAGATTAGAAACAAAACACCTGACTGAAGAAGCCTTCAGATGATTCTAGACCTTTAACCTTTGAGTCATCCTCAACCACTGGAATCTTTCCACCTAAGATCCCAGGCAGGGCAATCTGGGCCCTACTGTGTCCCAATACCTGACCAGAACCTGTGATCATAAAATGCTGATGGTTTTACACTACTCAGTTTGGGGACAGTCTGTTAAGCAGTAATAGATCACTATAAAGACTACTCTTGGCTGGTGCCGCGGCTCACTAGGCTAATCCTCCGCCTTGCAGCACCGGCACACCGGGTTCTAGTCCCGGTTGGGGCGCCGGATTCTGTCCCCATTGCCCCTCTTCCAGGCCAGCTCTCTGCTGTGGCCAGGGAGTGCAGTGGAGGATGGCCCAAGTGCTTGGGCCCTGCACCCCATGGGAAACCCGGAGAAACACCTGGCTCCTGCCATCGGATCAGTGCGGTGCGCCAGCCGCAGCACGCCGGCCGCGGCAGCCATTGGAGGGTGAATCAACGGCAAAAGGAAGACCTTTCTCTCTGTCTCTCTCTCTCACTGTCCGCTCTGTCAAAAAAAAAAATTTTTTTTAAAAAAAAAAGAAAAAGACTACTCTTCCGGCTTTCTTCTTATCTCTATGTACTCCTGCCTAGTCCCCTAGGTCCTTCCTAACCTCCCTGATTCTTGAACCATCCAAAGCCTCAGTCCATGGACCACTTCTACTCCTGTGCTCACTCCCTTGGCCATCTCACACAGTCTCGTGGCTTTAAATACTGTGTTGGTGACCCCCAGGTTGGCATCTTCAGCTCTGGACCTCCCCCTCTGAACTCCAGAGTAGGGCATCCACCTGCTTATTCCACTTCTCTAATTGAATTCTCAACTGGCATCTAAAACTGAACAAAGACAAATGCCTCCAAATGATGCCCTTTTCCCAGGCATCTCTATCTCAGTTAAGTGCAGCTCTCAGCCTATGAGTCACAAGCCTTGTCACCTAGATACTCACATGGCTCACTTCCTGGTCTCCCAGGGTCTTTACTAAAATTCCCAGCGAGGCCTTCTTTCACCATCATACTTCAAGTGGCAACCCCACAACCCATCCATCCCAGCTGTGATTTTCCAAAATAACACTTACCTCCACCTGATCCACAGTAACTTCTACTAACTAGTCTTCTCTTTCCAGTAGAATGTAAGGATTTTTAAACCATTTTGCTCACTACTGTATCCCCAGTGACCAAACAATGTACGATGGGACTTCAAAAAGTTCATGGAAAATGGAATGAAAAGACAAGTTTACATGCACAGTTTTTTTATAATATGCATTTTCTGACAAGTTAAATCCATGCACAGTTTTTTCATAATACGCATTTTCTGCAAGCTCCTGGATGACACCTTGTGTATCTTTGACTTTCAATAATTACCTGATTATTGAATAAACAAATGTCTTTAGAGAGCAAGCAGAAATGAGATCAGGAACACAAGTAGGGCATTTACCTCAGAGAGGGAAATAACACATTTCTTCTTTTGGGGAAGAGAGAAAAGAATAACTACTGCCTTTGGACGTTTAAGTAATGACAGTACAATCCATCTTACCACGTGATATGCCCAGGTCTAAGCATTTACACATATTAGCTGCTGTAGGGATAATTCTCTCCACAGGCTGCAGGCAGGTTCTATTATCACCACTTTATAGATGAGGAAACTGTGGCGGAGTGAGATTAAGTGACCAGCTGTTTTAGCAGCATGGCTGGAATAAAAACCCAAGATATCTGACTTTGGGGCCCATCATCTTACTCTTCACACCACACTTCTTGAAGGCTCTTTGCTGACAGTGACACCGCAGTAGCGGGATAGGGAACTTGAAAAGTTTGAAGTAGCTACTGAGAAATCAGGAAGGCGTCCAATAAGAAAAACACAACGGGTTTTGTTGAGCAGTGCCAAGGACCTGGATCCACTGCACAACCTGGCTTTGTAATGGACTCCATTAACTGGTGATGTCACTTGATTTTCTGTGGTAATACCGGAAGAGATGGAGCTGAACTATGTCAAGGTTGTGGGTGGGTGGGGCAGGTGGAGAGGAAAGGATAAGAAAGCAAGCTTAGATGAAAACACATTTGAAACAGTTGAGCAGGGGACTCAGAAGCAAGTCAGTGAATTATCAAAACAGATTCTGGGACCTGGAAATGGGTGAAGTCACGGTGACAAGGATAGAAAGATTCAGCAATGGTGCTGGTGTTTGGCACAGCTGAAGATGCTGCTTGGGACGCCAGCATCCCACACCAAAGCACTTAGGCTCAAGTCTCAGCTCTGCTCCCAGTCTCGAGGTCCTGCTAACATGCACCCTGAGAGGCAGCCAGAGACGGCGCCAGTAGTTGAGTCCCTGCCACATCTGTGGGAGACCTGGATTGAGTTCTTGGTTCCTGGTTTTGGCCTGGCCCAGCCTCAGCTGTTGTGGACATTTGGGGAGTAAACCAGTAGATGACAGTTATCTGTCTTCCAAAGCAAATAAATAAATAAATAAATAAATATATTTTTTTAAAGATTCAGCAGGAACACAATACAGAAGTCATGGAAAGATAAGAGACATGATTATAGAGAGGAGGACTCTGTTCAAGATTTGGGAGGTGGAGTGAGGGAGGGAATTGTCCGGGGGGAAAAGGGACCATCAGAGGCAGGACTAAGTTACTGAGTACAGGAAGCTGAAACCTCCCCTCACCCTTCCCAAACCCCAGTCACCTGTGTTGATCTTCAAATTCCCACAAGCCAATGTAAAGCCCTTCATTCCATAACTAATGGAAAGGTTTAAAAAATAGGATAACTCCATGAAAGATAATTCAATAACTTGTGCACTTTAGTCTTAAGTAACAGGTTGTTGTTGTTTTAAGTTCTTTTCCCAGAGTTGATTTAAACATTAGAACTCTCAGCAGGCATCACGTTGGGAAGAAAGGGTTACTGAAGGAGGTGGCAGCTCACCTGTCAAGGTTGCTTGCTTGTAGCCCTGGTAGTAACTAATCTACACAAATCAAATCAAATATTTACTTTTCCAAGAATCCATTCAAATCGAATGCTTTTATAGATTTCTCTCAAAACATCAGTACTCACCACTATGGACAAATTCTAGCAAAAGCCTCTAAGAGTCAGCATATAGGGGCTCCTCAACTTTTGATAGGGTTCTATCAGATAAACCCATTGTTAAGTGGAAAATGTCATAAACTGACAATGCATCTAATATACCAAATCTACAGCACACCATGGCTTAGCAACACAACACACTGCAGCGTTGGCCACTCAGCTTTGTGGCTGACTGGGAGCTGCCGCTCTCTGCCACAGGAGCATGCCAAGAGCAGACAGTGTCATAGCAGACATCACTAGCCCAGGAAAAGATCAAACTACAAAGTTCAGAGCCTAATTACTGTGTATGGCTTTTTCATCATTGTAAAGCTAAAAAAATTGTAAGTTGAACCACTGTAAGTTGGGGACTGTCTGTATCTGTTTTTATTTGATTACCCACCAAACTTTTCATATTTATTACCATTGAGGCAGGAGAAACAATTACTTTACCTGCAGCAAGAGGAACTAAAGGCAAATCATCTTGAAGAGTTATGAAAAATGACTGAGGAATACATAATCAATATGAATTACACACACACACAGTGACACAGTGGAATATTAGTCTTAAAAGGAAAATACTGATACAAGGTACAACATGGATAAACATTGAAAACATTATGGTAAGTGAAATAAGACAGACATAAAAAGACAAAGACTGTAAGACTCCACTTATTTGAAGTCCCTAGGATAGGCAAATCTGTAGACAGAAAGCAGGGTGGTGGTTATTACAGGCTGAGAAGAGGGTCATGGGAGTCACTGTTCAGTGGGCACAGGGCTTCTGTGTGGAATGATGGGAAAATTATGGAGATGGATATTGGTGAGTGTGGCACAATGAATGCACTTAATGTCACTGCATTTTATACTTAAAATAGTTAAAATGGTGAATTTTATGTTACATATCTTTTACTACCCAAAATTATGAAGAATGCAGTAAGAACACAGGCAGAATTGGTGGAATCTACCTCCAAACAGAAAGACAATACAGGTTGAGCATCCCTAATTTTAAATCCAAAATCCAAAATAATCCAAAATCCAAACTCTTCAGTACCAACATGATGCCACAAGTGGAAAATTCCACATCTGACTTCATGTGATGGGTCACAGTCAAAATATAGGTACACTACAAGTATCATACAGGCTAGGTGTACAGGATGTATATAAAACACAGAATGATTTTAGTTTAGACTTGGTTCCTGTTCCCAAGATTATCTCATTATTTCTGTGCCAATATTCCAAAATCTGAAATAAGAAATACTCTGGTCTCAAACATTTTGGGTGAGAGATACTGAATCTGAATATATCTAGGACAGTTTAGGTACACACTGATCAGCAAAAGGAGGTAAGATGCCTAGGATGGAGGAAATGATCTGAGCATCTCTCAATTCATACGACAAAGTGAGTTTTCAAGACTAACAGACTGCTAGCCCACTGCAGCAGGGACTGTAGCTTTTGACCCCGTTTACAAAGGCAGCTGCGACTGAGCCTAAAGGACTTCCAGAGCGGGCTGTGTTAATCATCAATGCTCTTTCTAGTTACAAACACTCTGAGGTCAGGAGCCTTGCCTGATCCTCTGTAGCCCAGACTCCCTCAAAGTAGCCCCTGCGAGGTATTTATTTCATGGCTATTGAACACAGATAGGAGTTTGATGTGGCTTCTATAATGGTGACCAGATAATGTCATCTTAAGAGCGCTATGAAGATACTTCAAAAAGTTCACAGAAAATGAAATTTAAAGGTGTTTATCTTAGTGCAACAATTTTTTGAAATACATGCATAGTTTTTTTTCATAATGAGCATTTTCCATGAACTTTATGAAGACTTCTCATATGTCTGATCGGAATGAAATGGTATTTTGTAAAAACCCTGATACAAAGATAAGGCATTATTCTAAACATAAGCAGGACAAAAAGGCTTGGACATCTCCCTGAATGTCATGGTTTGTTTGCCATGGTCTGCTTTCTTGGCGATTTGCTGGCAAGTTTCACTAAGGACATGGGAAGCTCTGATTCACCATTTTTTTCTCACTCATCTTGGGAGGAGTAGGGCATGGTACTTTTCTGCCTATAAAGTTCCTCAACTCTTACAAAGCAATTGATTATTCTGAAGGATCTTGGGTTTGGAAGAAGAATCCACTAGAAAACAATAGTGATTTGTTTCTTTCAGGGGTTTGTCTAGCTCTAAAACCTGTCCAGTTTTGGCCAGATACAGTGTGCAGGAGGACTTCTAAGGCAAGGCATTCAGTCTCAAGACCTTCCCTGGTAGACCATTTTCTGCTAATCTGACCACAATTGACAGGCGATTTAATAAACTTAATTACCCAAGACATTTTCTATTTTCTAAATCTGCCTCCTTGAGATGAGTATCCTTTGAATCTATGACACAAGGAGAGCAGTCAAGAACTGAACCTTGTGTTTCTGTGTGATGAACCCATATTTAAAAATTAAGATTCGTGCTCATGTAACTCTGATGCTAAGGGAAGTCAGAAACCAAATGGGTATTGATAAAAACTACTGTTTGCTGAAAGGATTTAAAGCAGGAAGCCCTTGCCAACTCCTTTATAAACTGAAAAACATACAATTACTTTAAGAAGAACTAAGTTGTTTCCTAATTACACCACAGATTTTGTCAAAGGGAAACTCTTTAGCAATCTTGAGACTTTTACCTCCTCAAATCTTAGATGGCTGGCTTTCAAAAACGATTTTTGTAATCCACAATACATGAAATCTTCTAGCTGATAAAAGGCCAACATTTACATTCTTCTGGAGGGTTGAATGGATTTTTATATATTAACACAGATGGTTTCCAGTGCTCACCATACTGAGTAGGGAGAAATCATTAGTTTTCATCATCCATGTATCGGACAAGCAGGAAGTTAGAATATCCACTGAAGTTCATTACTGTACATTTCAAGTTCCGATTACCTTCTAAGAACACGAATTTCTGCATCTTAGGTAGAAAGTGTACTTCTCAGTTGCAACAACATCCTCATGGACTTTTCAGTTTGTCTTTATCTTGCTCTTTCTGACTGCAAAGTGCAAAAGATTCCTGCACAAACTGCCTACACATTGGGCACTGCTGAAAATAGCGCACGCAGCCATCGCACAGGCACGTGTGCCGGCACGGCAGCAGCACCCAGTTCACGGCCCCGTTCTGGCAGACGACACAGTCCTTGCTGTTCTCCTCCCACGGCTCCACTTCGCTTTCAGACAGTCCGGCCCTTTCCAACAAGCTTCGGTCTGTGTTTTTTTCTTCTGGAGAGGGGTGGCTGGAGGGAGTGGTATTATTATTTGCAGACATGAAAAGTTGCTGAAAATCAAAGAAAAATCAAGGTTTAAGGATAAGGATAAATGACAGTGACGTTTCAAATCATGGGGCCCAAAGAGCTGCCCGAATTTGTGAGTTAGCACAGCCAAGAGCAAGGAGGAGCTGACACCTACAACCACTCACTGTGAAACACCACGGCCTCTCTCTGAGTGGCTATCCTTGAAATTCTGTGAACAAACTGACACAGGTCAGACTACAGGGCACGACTTACCTTAAGATCATGAAATTGACCTTGAGCCAAGAGTAAATACTGATACAATATTCTGCAGGGAAGCTTGTAAGTCTTATCAGGAATATGAATTACTGACACCATGGAAATCTAAAACAAAAATTGAACAGCAGTCAGTATTTAACCTCCTTACGTTATTTCACAAATACAAGGCAAATGTTTCTCAAAGAGACAGATAAATTAGAAAATTTAATCTGTATGAACACTGTCATTGAAGAGGATTCAATTACTGACATGTTTTTGCCAGTTACTTTAATTGCATTCAAATTTATAGATTTAAAGTGATTCCAATAAAAATACCAATGAACTTTTTTTATGGTGTTATATGCATGGAATCAAAAATTCCCCTAAGGAAAAAGAAACACATTAGAATAGCTAGGAAAACACTGAAAAAGAGAGAGCCATGAAAGAGACTAGCCCAGTCAAACATGAAAACACGCTACAGAACTTCTCAAATTCAATGTGTGATGTTGGCACATGGAAGATGAGAAACAATCCAGACACAGACCTAAATATGTATAAAATATGATAAAGGTATCATCTCAAATCAATGGGAAAGCATTTTTTTTTTTTAATAAACACTATTGGTTGGGGTGGGCTCTGTGGCACAGCAAGTTAAGCTGCCGCTGGCGCACCCTCATACCATATTGGAGTGCCGGTTTGAGTCCTGGCTACACGCTTCCAACCAGCTCCCTGCTGGTGCAACTCGGAACCAGCAGACGGATGATGGATCAAGCACTTGGGTCCCTACCCATGTAGAGACCCAAAGGAGTTTCTGGCTCCTGGCTTCGGCCTGACCCAGGCCCTGCTGTTGCAGTCATTTGGAGAGTGAATCAGTGGATGGAAGATCTGTCTCTCTCTGCCTTTAAAATAAACAAACGCTATTGGGACAACTGAATAGCTATTTGCAAACACAGAGACTAAATGCATTCCTCACATTGCATATAAAAATAAACGACAAAAGCATAGGGCACCTAAATGTAAAAAAACAAAAAAACAAAAAACATGGCAAGTATCGGAAAAAAATTGGGTAAATTCATTTTAGTCTCAGTGTAGGGAAAAGATTTTATAACTACAAACCAGATAACCCTGGTACATTCAGCTATATAAAAATTAAAAACTTCTGACAGAAAAGAACCATCAGCAATGTCAAAACATGATAAACGAGACCAGAATATTCATAGTACTTATTGCTGATTGCAGTTTGATATCCCTAATTTATGAAGAATGCTTAAAAACTGAAGGAAAAACTGACCAAAATCCTATACAAAATTGAGCAAAGTAGATAAACGGACAATTCACAGGAAGATATAAATATGGCCCTTAGCCATATTAAGAAATGTTCAACTGAATCTTCACTGTTTCTCACTCACCAGACTAACAAAGATCTAAAAGCTTGTCAATATACTCTATATAGAAACTGTCAATCTCATTTGTTGCTGGTGGAAATGTTAAAAAAGTACAACTTGGAAGGTACAGTCCCAGTGGAGAACTTGGCAACATTTAATAAAATGACATGCATTTACACTTCACCCACTAACTCCAACAACATTAGGACAGCCAGTACATGATCGTATGCTACTGAAGAAGACTGGAGGGGCCGGCGGTGAAGCTGCCGCCTGCCGTGCCGGCATCCCATACAGGCGCCGGAACAAGTCTCAGCTGCTCCACTTCTCATCCAGCTCTCTGCTATGGCAGGGAAAGCAACGGAAGATGGCTCAAGTCCTTGGGCCCCTATACCCATGTTGGGAGACCTGGAAGAAGCTCCTGGCTTTGGATTGGCCCAGCTCTGGCTGGTGCGGCCATTTGAGGAGTGAGCCAGCAGGTGGAAGACCTCTCTCTCTCTCTGCATCTGCCTCTCTCTAACTCTGCCTTTCAAATAAATAAAATATTAAAAAAACAAACACACAAAGAAAAAGACTGGAAACCACCTGGACGTCTGAGCACAAGAGACTGGCAGGATAATTACGGGACACACACTCACCATACTGGAGGATGGTGCTATTCACAATCCCAAATGCCATAATCCTGAGTGTTAAAATCCTGAAAGGTCAAAGTCCCTAAATTCTAAAATCCCTAAAGTTCAAAACCCCCAAATGACAATTCTAAAAGACTAACTGAAATCCTAAAAGCAGAAATCATAGAAATCAAAATTACAATTCCCCTATGAAGAAAGTGTATGGTAAGTGGGTGGAATGCTCAGCCCTGGGGAAAGCATTAGCGTGTTTTCAGCTGTCCACTGGGTAGCTGTCCAACTCTGCAGCCAAGTGTGCCTCTACCCCACACACACAGCACCATGCTAGCACCCTTCTCAGTCAACGAAAAGAATTCAGCAAATTCTGACCAAAGACACTTGTGTTCTACCAGTGTGGCAAAGCATATTAAATGGTGAACTATTCTTGGTAAGGGAGCTGTCACAGAAGGGAGTCCTCTCATATTACCACCAACTGTAACATAGAAAAACCAGCACAGGCTGCAATTTGCTCAATGGATGGCAAATGTTCCCATTGCTATTTATCAAATAGAAGAATTTCATGGAAAATACATATTATGAAAAAAACTATGCACGGATTCCAAAACTTTGCACCAAAATAAATTTATTTTAAAAATCTTTATTTAAGAGACGGGGGTGGAGGGAAACTGAGCCAGAGTGAGAGTGTTCCCATTCATGGCTCATTTCCAAACGCCCCACAGCGGTCTAGGGTTGGACCAGGCTGAAGCCAGGTCTCCCATGTGGGTGGCAGGGACACCAGTACTTGGGCCATCACCTACTGCCTGCCATAGTGCACATTAGCCAGACATTGGAATTGGAAGTGAAGCCAGGACTTGAACTCCGGCACTCCAGTATGGGATGCAGGCATCCAAACCCAGTGCACGAACCAATAGGCCAAATTCCAACTCAATAAACTTACTTTTAATTTCATCTTTCCATGACTTCTTGAAGTGCCTGCAATTCATAGAACTCAATGTCCCTGAGCTGAAAATTCTGGAACTTATCTACTCACTTAAGGAACCAAATTTCTATTGAATCTTCAAACCACAATGACAGATCCCGACTTCTGTGTGACAAAAGGCTTCTAAAAGTAAATTTCAAACTGTTACCAATACAGTTTGTTTCTTCTATTGAGCTCCATGCCTTTAGTAGATAATTCAGATGAGTAGATTCGCCATATGATACAACAGTAACAGAAATGGAAGTTTAAAAATATGTCAGGAGCTGGAGCTGTGGCGCAGTGGGTTGAGGTAGCATCTGCAGTGCCCGCATTCCATATGGGCACCAGTTCGAGTCCCGGCTGCCCCATTTCTGATCCAGCTCCCTGCTAATGTGCTTGGGAAAGCAGTGGAGGATGGTCCAAGTGCTTGGGCCCCTGCAACCATGTAGGAGACCTGGAAGGAGTTTCTAGCTCCTGGCTTCAGATCAGTCTAGCTCCCGCCATTGTGGCCATTTGGGGAGTGAACCAGCAGATTGAAGAGCTCTCTCTCGGGTGTGTGTGTGTGTGTGTGTGTGTGTGTGAGTCTTCCTCTCTCTCTGTAATCCTCACTTATAAATAAATAAAATAAATCTTTAAAAAAATTAAAAACATGTCGGCCGGCGCTGTGGCTCACTTGGCTAATCCTCTGCCTTCGGCGTTGGCACCCCAGGTTCTAGCCCCGGTTGGGGTGCCAGGTACTAGTCCCGGTTGGCTCCTCTTCCAGTCCAGCTCTTTGCTGTGGCCCGGGAGGGCAGCAGAGGATGGCACAAGTGCTTGGGCCCCTGCACCCACATGGGAGACTGAGAAGAAGCACCTGGCTCCTGGCTTCGGATCGGCGTAGCGCGCCAGCCATAGCAGCCATTAGGGAAGTGAACCAATGGAAGGAAGACCTTTCTCTCTGTCTCTCTCTCACTGTCTATAACTCTACCTGTCAAAATAAATAATAAATAAATACATGTCATTTGTCTGCACTGGCATTAGTTTCGGCTGATAAAATTCCGTAAAGTGGCACCTGTCTGAGGAAGCAGTGAAGTAATGACCGGTATGAAAGTAATTGTGGGCAGAGTAGGATAAGGAGACAGGCAGTGGTGCTGCTATCTGGTCACCGTACTGTTTTCACCATGCCCATGGTGTGTATTTGAACGTGAAATGGGTTTCTGCATGCCCAAAACATCACAGAAGCACAGCACAGAAGATGGGAAAATTTGACCGGATCTGCACAGAAGAGTTCCAAAAGGAGCAGCCCCAGGCAGAAAATGAATGTGAATGAACTCTGAGGACAGTCATGACCCAAAGAACGCCATGACGCATGACGTAAAACGTTAGCTGCTGAAAGTCAGCTGGCTCTCAGCGACTACCCCCTTGCAACTGCTCACCATCTATCCCTACCATAGACTTTTTCATGTGTTGGCTTTTCTTTTTAGTACTTGTTTTTTTCTTTTTGTGTTCCCCCCTATTTTAAATTATCAGTACTATATTTTGCAACTCACTAAGCCATGTATTTTACCTTTGTGTCATTTCCAATACTGGACGTATTAATGATGTAAATGCTTTCAGAGAGTTCTAATTTGTTCTTGACATTTAACAAAAGTTTTTGCTCTGCAAAAGCACATTTTGTTGCAACATTGGCTTGGTGTATAAGCACTGTGCACATCTATAAAAATGCTGAAATTTCCTCAACAAATAAAAAGATGTCCTGTTGGTACACTGCAATTTGTGAAACATAAAGTTTCTATAGATCTTCGATCTTTGGGTGAGTGTTATCTGCGGTGGTGAGCCATCATGGTTTTTGATGGGTCTTATCAAAACATTCAGGCTGTCTATCCCAGTATTTCAGGTAAGCACAGTTACCAAGCTCGGCACATACAGTAACGAACCATCGTGACGTGCACCTGCACATTTTGCTTTTTGATCTATTTCTTTATGAATGCCATTTGCCCATTACTCATACCCATGCAACTGTCCTTATACATAAATGTTTATGCGTATAAAAACAAGTATGCTATTACTGCCTATTTTATGGGCAAAGTGGCCTATGAAGTACTGTATTGTGTTTTTAGGTTTCTCAAGTACATCTCTCTTTTTTAAAAAAAGATTCATTTATTTATTTGAAAGTCT